TGGGAATTCTATCAGGACAATCAGAGAATATATAACATATCCGTTCAGTAAAAGACTGCTAGCGCTTGTGTGTTATAGCCTGAAACTAAGGGCAGCACTGCTCAATGATGGGTCTACTAGAATCCCGTAGAAAAATCTGTGCTAATCGTTTCAATCCCCCTACTTGTCATAAGGTGATGAAGGACTCAATTAATTTTTTCCCTCAATAATATGAGTAGGCCGCATATTTCCATTAAACCTCGATTAACCTTCCTATGCATAAAGGTATCTAATCTAGAGTGGACTGTTTTTTCGACTTCGCCTCGGTTTCATTCGAACCTCAGGGCTGGTAAAACGTCGAAATTATACACTGTACTACTCTGGTTCTATTCCCATTGAAGGTGCTTAAGGGAGCAAAACAGCAGTCCATCCAGAAGGAGAATTACTTTTGAGAGGCAAGACTTCGTTAGATTCAATGGAAACATCAGGCCTACGCATATCACAGAGACAAAAATTCAACTATCATTGCTTCATCACCATAGGTGACCTAAGATGATTGAAACTCTTATTCGAGGCTTATTGATAATCTCCCAAAACTACCTTGTCTGCATAAACTTCTGACAATGTACCCAATACACAATCCAATACTTGATGAACATAGGACCAGAATGACAGAAGACGCAGTGCGAGGCAGACTCTTCAAGCCGTCTGAAAGCATGACCAAGATGCGTAAGCGAGGTGAAACGAATTGCATAGAGCGAAAGAACAGGTGTCTTCTTGCTCGCCATAACTTCTGACACTTTTCGTTTTTTAGGCCGGAAAACTACACTTCAACTACATTTATGGTCTTGGCGCTCTCGGCTGCCTTTGCATGTGGGTGTTGGTCACCCTAATGTCGCCGGACAGAGTGGCGCCGACTTGCGTCATCTCTATCATTGGCTACTGCCTTCTCCCTTTGTGCATACTCTCAGCACTTGGAATCTTTATTTCGTTAAAGTAAGGACTAGTCAAATTAAAATCTCATTTTTATTCTCACTCCTATATTTAAACTTACCGTACAATTGTATTACCCTTATTCTGTCTGCTAGAGCATGGCTAATTATTCAACCAATCTGGATGTTCATGCTCTTAACTCACCTAGGCATATCATAATGTTTGCTTTATGCTAGGCTATGGGTTTGTGATTTCCTCACAAAGAGTACTTGTTAAAATCAGTCATGGGGTACTCTGTTATCTAGGTAAAATTAAGTGGAATATAATATTTAGTTTTTCTTGTCTGTTCACTCAATTTTTATGTTTTTAATAAGATTAGGTTCTTCGTGCAATTTTACGTCGGCTTCTGGCCTCAAGCATCATAGCTTCTATTTCTTACGATTAGCGAGTAATTTCAGACTTAATGAGATATAGTAAAAATCCTGGCTGATGAGTTTGAGGCAGTAAATAGCCCATAAGATATTAGACAGAAAGACTCAGAACACAAAGTTATTCGAATCTATACGAATCGACACTATACTTGGGTCAGAAAGTGATAATTGTTTTCAAAACAATTTATAGGACAGTAGGACATCAAGGCATGTAAGCTAATTTGAATTTTGTGTTGCCTAGTACCACCAACAGCATACGGATTAATAAA